TGGAAGCTCAACAACAGATCGAGTTTTATCAAGCTAGAATTTCCCGGGCTTTCGATAAAAAGGTCCGATAACGAAGTTTTAAAGAAGGAGATTTGGTCATCGCCGTCCAAAGACCTATGATTCTCACTTCTAAGAAGAAAGGCAAATTTGAACCTAAATGGAAAGGACCGTTCGTGATAGAAACAGTCTATTCAAACGGTGCATATCGCCTGATTACTCAGGATGGCAACAAATTGATGATACCAATAAATGAGAAGTTCCTGAAAAAGTATTATCCGTAATACGTTCAGGATAACCTATGTAAAACGTGAAGTTCCTAAAAAAATCCTGTATAGGATATTTCAGGATAACCCGATATCAGTTGACTATTCTAAATGAAAACTGATTATGTGAATAATCTGTTCTTAATTGTTATAAAAATGATTAAGATCCTCTTACTACTTTTGTTGAGATGAGATTCAATGATAGTTAATCTTTCCTCACAAAACCCTGTCACGTGATCATGGAAGAGGAGGTTCAATGATTTGTAACCTCACACCATGAGACCCTCACCGATCGGATTGACCTATAGTCATCAGTCTGTATCAGTCGACAAATTATTTCTTATCAAATTCTTATCAAGATTTTCCCACTGAGTAGTTTGTTCAAATCAACGAACTCATTGTTATTTGTACCCTACTCCTATTCCTCACCTGGTCAAACCTTCCTACAGTTAGGACCACAACCAAAATCTCCTCTCGATTCTATCCATGAACGAGAGGTCCACAAATCAAATGATCAAACCTTTGAATAGTTAGGATCATCTTAATTCCCACTTGGTCAAACCTTACTACAGTTAGGACCACAACCACAATCTCCTTTCGATTCATATCGCGAACGAAAGGTCCATTTTTGAATTGAATAATCAAACCTTATGACAGTTAGGATTATTCAAACCAGTCCAGATTCTTTAAGTGGAGATCCCACTTTGAGTTTCTTTTGCAATAGGAGATAGAATATAAAATTCTTCCTCTCCGATTTTGGGTTTATCTCTACCAACAAACAAGAGACTAGAAGATAGAATATAAAATTCTTTCTCTCCGATTTTGGGTTCATCTCTACCAACAAACAAGAGACCAGGAGATAGAATATAAAATTCTTCCTCTCCGATTTTGGGTTTATCTCTACCAACAAACAAGAGACCAGGAGATAGAATATAAAATTCTTCCTCTCCGATTTCGGGCTCGTTGTCCTATATAGGAAACGCAACCTACTCACACTTTAAAATCCATGTCGTTCACACATGGGGGACGTTATCTCAATCCCTTATTAGAGATAAGTCTACATCTAACACATGTAGCCTACATATTCAATATTGTAGTTCAAAGACTAAAAGAGTCTAATTCTTTTAGCCCAACGTTATATGTAAAACGGACCTAGATAATTCACATACTAGCCCGACTCAAACAGTAGTCGGTAAAGGCATATCAAATCCGTTGATGGCTGAGGATTTTCTAAAAATCCTATAAGTATTATGGTTATTTATTCTAAACAAGAATGAGTAATCATAATAAAATCTTAATAAGCAAAAGGATTCAATATATTGACCAAGAGTGTTCAAACAAAGCTAAAGAAAAAAATACATGTCCAATTACAAAAGTTTATATTGACTAATCTGATCTTCAAGTTTTGAAAGCTCTAACGCATAAGCCTGTTTAAGCTCAGCCGCCGATTTAATCTTGAAAGCTTCTTCGTCAACACTTTGAAGTTCGGCGATCTCTTGTTCCTTTTCAGCAAGTATTTGATCTTGAAGATTTAGCTGCTGTAACAGGTTTTCTTCAACCTGAGCTTCCTGCGTCAACTCGGACTCCAAAACCTCATGAGCATCCTTAGCCTTTGCAAGTTGCTCCTCTAAGCGAGCTATTTCCGCTCGACTCGATTCTAAGTTCCGGCGTAGGTTGACCTTAGCTTGTGTTCTTTTGCCAACACTCACCCTAAGTTGATCACTTCGGGCTCTTAGCTTTTGAAGTTCGAGATTAGCTGATTTTTGGGAATCACGCCACGCCTACAACTTGGAATCCATGTGGGAAGCGATATAAGAGGGTATGCCTTTGGTGCGAAGAGCCTGCAGAAGTTCAACATGTCGCTTCAAGTCAACCAAATAAGCGTTGGCTGAATCGGCTAACTCATTATACCCTTCTTCTCTGAATCCTGATATAAAACGCTCAAGAGATTTGTTATAACTCTCAAAGTACGATCCTTTGAAGAGAATACGATCGACCATAGAGTTCAAAAAGGGGATGAAGCCTTGGAGATTGGAACAGATGACAGCCTTGTCCGGATCGTCGTCGACCAATAATGCTTGGATATGATTTGATAATGATGAAGGAACTGTGATGAGGGCAAATAAGTCAGTACAGAACATATGTATACATACAAGACAACAGGCTGAAGCATACCAAGTTCGACGGAAGAGCCTTCAATATGACTTGGTTCACCCAAGGATGATAGTCCGGCTTCTTGAACAACCAAGATTGGTTCAAGAATCGCAACTGTTGATGCACCCGCTACATCAGATGCTTTTTCAACTAAAGCCTCAGAAGACGGCGGGTCCAAACTAAGAGGCTCCTTAGGAGGGGATTCTATAAACAAAAGAATTACAATGAGCATAATGGAATGTTAAACCAAAATTTAAAACAAATGATGGGCAAAACTCACCAACTCTAGGCACAACATCGGCCGACGTACCAACTTCTTCAGTTGGTCTCGCTTTTGTTGCAACCGGACTAATTTGGGGAGTGACGGTGACTTCTATCATCATAGGGTCCATAGGAGTAGCAGGTATAGAGGTCTTACTTTCAGAAGGACCTGCTTCTGTTGAACCGACTCCAACGGTGGATTCTGTGGCTGCACCAAGAATTTTCCCTGATAATAAATCGGAGATATACTGATGGTCGCCTTCAGAGAGATCAAGATCGAGGTGGTGCTCATTGAACTCCTCGACCTCTGTTGCATGGGTAGCTTCTCCTTCAGTTGACTCATGCATCGTGGCATCTACGGAACGTGTTGATCCATAAATAACATATAAATTTAGACGAATTTGCTCAAAAAGACGATTAACGTTACCTTTGTTGACCGGGATAGAGTCAAGAGCTCCAATACTTGCACCCGCTTCTTTTAGCTTGACTAAAATAAGACAAAGCGCACAGGTCATTAGATGAGGCACACGGTCCGACTCATTCATTTCTCAAATTTCTCTTCCGCGAGGAGAAAGATCAGTACTTGTGTCTGTAGCCGATGGATCAATGTCAGGAGTTGGTGGAACACCAACTGGTCCTTCTTTCAGAGCATCCTGCATTTGTTGGACAAAGCTGGTCTCCTCAGTCTCCATACCTCCGGGAGAAGCAGCATCAGCTGGCAATTCTCCTTCTTCTTGACTCCCTATAGAAGTTGAGCATGAAATAAGTTTGAGCGTTAAGAAGTATGAGAGCAATAAAAACAAATGGTTACCTTGTTCATCAGAAGAAGCACTACGACCAGACGTCTCCTCTAGAGCAGGAAGATGAACACGTGGCTTAGAGACAGCTTTCTTTTGTCTCTTCTGTGGACGTGCTTCAGAACCTTCGTGATGACGTTTGGTGCGTAATTCAGTTCCAGGAGGAATCTGAGTTTGAGCCTGAGTGGAAGATTGAGATCTTTGCCTGCGAGCAAGAGGCATTGTATCCTCTTCATCCTCTTCGTCTCCGCTGAGGACCTCTACCGTCATCCGGTTGGGATAGGTCATGACTACTCTCTCTTTTCTTTTCTTTTTTTGGAGCATCCTGTGGTTGGGCAGGCGCAACAGATGGGCGCACAAGTCCCCTCTCAAAGAAGGAATCGGGAAGGCCAGCTGCTTCCTCAGAACTTGAATCAGCCTCACTCGTCCCCTTAGAAGTTTCAGTTTCTTCACTATCAAACTCTCATTCACTGTCGGTTGGGCGGGCC